ACGTACGACGTACAGATTAACATAAACCATGCTCAAAACGGCCTGATTCGGGTTCGCTGACCTCAGAAACGTCCAGAAAACATGTTTCTGAAGTTTTCAAAATTTTGACCGATTACAATACTTTTCACCTTACACTATGTGTGCGGAAAAGTAAAATGAATTCAGCAGTGAGTGCTCGATACTGTGTTATGTTATAGACTCCAAATCATCAAAAATGTATCCGATTCGCAATCCACGCACCGTTTAATCTTACTCATTCGAAATTAATATTTAATCATAGACATTAAATATTTGAACAAAAAAATCATTAAACTTCGTACAAAAGTATAGTCCAAGTAAATTTTCCCATGTAAATTTATTTTCAAATTTTTATTTCACATTTTGTGTTTAATTTGGCCAAAAGAAAATCAAATAATATCCCATTCAATGGTAGAAAATTGCTTTCGATTGTAGTATGTGTGATGTTTTAATTGGTGAATGATTTTGTTTTCATTTCTCCAAGAGGAAGCTCAAATCGGATTCAGGTTGATATTCGCGTGATTCGGTGCTGAAAAATAAATTAATTTGCTTTACATATTCTCTCTTTTTTGTAATTTCTTTTTTCTGTACTTACCGAGTAAACAAGCGAGCATTAGCGATGCCTTTAAGAGTTGCTTTATTGTCATCGACTGCAAGCAGTGTACCTTCAGGTAAGCCCAATACTGCTGCTTCATTAATTATGTGAAACTCTTTGATGCGATCCTCACGGGTTTCACCTTTATGCGTACTATTTTTGTCTGCATCAATGTAGTGCGGATTTATATTGAATGGCACCAAATTTAATGCATCAAATCTAAAAGTTTCGATTTAATTATTTAAAAAAAGATAAAATATGACTGCTCTTCGAAAGAGATTTGAAAAAGTAGCTTACGATGGTGGATAAATGATAGGCATATCGTTGGTAGTTTGAATAGAACGAGTTGCCACGTTCGAACCAGCTGATGAACCCATGTATGCCATGCCATCTTCAAGTACACGCTTGTGAATCAATTCTACCAAATTTAAATCGTACAATTTTTTTAGCAAAACAAATGAATTTCCGCCGCCGATGTAAATGCATTGCGCCGCTTTGATGGCTTCAACCGGATCGTCAAATGTGTGCAATCCCTTGACTGACGTCTGAAGCTCTGTGTATCAAAATAAAACATTACAATTGGCTCATTGGAACTCATGAGAAACTCACCAAATGTGGCAATAGCATCAGCCATCATCTTGGTGTATCCATCGTAGTCTCCATTTACTTTGGCATACGGAACGAAAATAACCTCACTCACATTATTTCTAATTGAAGTTAAAAAAATCATTAAAAGAATTATGTTTTATTTCGAGAAAAAAAATCCGTACCTTTTGAAGAATTCGATGAGATATGGTTTTTGTTGTTGCATTATTTCATATCCATGCACCATGGTTGATGATAGTAACATCAGTTGTCGTCTAACCATCGTCACCGGCAATGTTTGCACTGAATAAATCGAACAAAAGCAAATTAGTAATATTTCACCGTAATACATTTTGGTGACCATTTCCAATGCAACGGAATCGAAGAGTGACTTTAAACTTTGGTATGGCAATGGACATAGTTCAAGTTGTTTTTTTCTTATCAATAATAAGTTATCGTTATATAAAAATGTATTGCTTTGATAAAATATATTCAAACACTTACTGCGTATTCAAAAGAAAATCTACAATTTTAACGGTTTATCGCTTGGTGATTATTTTCATTTGCCCTTCTAATTTCTTTGTTTATTCTCAATGAGTTATCTGATTAAATGCACGCAATTTAGATAACACATAGCGAAACAAATCGTTGACGAGAAAAGTCATTTAAATGATTGTAACGTTGCCAGCGCCATCTGATCCAATACGAGAATGACAGCAGTGCCGGTTCAGGCAACACTGATAACATGCATGTTACAAATAAAATCCAATTCTAATGTACAATTTCGATGAAAAAAAACTTTGTTTTGTTATATATTCGTAAAACACACTTTATTCTACTTTGGCAATTCTCCTATAATCCAAAAGACCCTTAAAATGTCCTAATGAGATTAATCAAAATTTGTGATGAATTTTTGAGTAGATTATTTATATTAAACAAAATAAAAACGTCTTTTCGAAAATAATACCCTCTTTTCTGAACGAAATACATTTTGGAAACTATTTTTAGAGAAGGTAAGCTAATAAATGAGCATTTTGAACTTAGTCATGACCCAAACAATCTCGATTCAAGAAAAACTGTTAAGTTTTTCTCGCTGTAAATACAGAATTGGCTTCTTCATTTATTTTGATATTTTATGATTGAATCGCCGATTTGTTTCCGCGATGCAATTCGCAGACACTTTGAACTTTGATCGGTGTCCCATAGTTCACACTGTGGAATTGTGTTTGTTGCGTTTAGATAATTTTTAATCGTTCGTCCAAGACGTAAATTCGGTTCAATGGCACGCATCACATGAATGCCAGACTTTGATTTTATGAATAAATCCAAAATATTCATGATCGTTTGATCCTCACGAAGTAAAATACTTTCAATATGATTGTCGGAACGTGCAATTGGTACTTGAGATTCCATTGCTTTTCGTACGGTGACATAGTCTCGACTGTAGAATGATATGACATCGGAGTTTGTACGATCAAAATAACCAGCACTTTGGCTTACATCGCATGTATCACACTCTCGACATAAGTTCGTGTATTTGCATGGATAATTGACAAAACCAATCGGACTGAACACTTGGAATCCTTGAATCGTACTCATTCGAACCTGAAAAGAGGGAAAATTGGGCATTTTTTTAAATTGAAAACTATAAAATTGACCATACGTCGGATGGAGGGAACTATACGTACTCTATTCAAAACATCTGGCTTGAATGACATGCTGTTTGAACAAAGCAATACCAAACTTTCCAAGCCAATTTTGCGAAGCGCCAAATCGGTCACAACCAAACTAAGAATCTCTTCGCTGCCATACATCGAACTGAACATTGACGTTGAATGACTTCCACGGAACATATTTGAAAATTTCTCGGGTAACCGTACTGATACCTATAAAAACCCATATAATTCATTTGCGGAGTAATTTTGACGGTGGCGGGACTGTGCGGAGTTTGGCGGAGATGACATACAAACTCTGTGTGTACGAGGGTAACAGCACTTCTATGTGTATCATTCTTACGTAGATGATTAGTAACTTAGCTGTGTGTACGGCTACTAAGATGTTCGATTGGACAAAATAAATCTATGAACAGCAAAGAATGCTGTTACACTCGTACACACAACATTTGCATGCTATCTCCGCCGAACTCCGCACAGTCCCGTCATCGACAAAATTACTCCGCAAATGAGTTATATGGGAAGAGACGTTACTCTGATTGTCACATCAAATGTCCGAGACACCATGTATCGATTGGGCTTCGAGACACCAAAGTATCAAAAAAAGTATTGACTAACCCATGCAATGCGGGACCCATCGTTTTTGTACTTCTCTGACAATTGTAATGCCATCGTTTTCAAATCGGCAAACACATCGTTTTCGGCTTTACTCGGTGAATTGGCTTGGTATAAGAGTACCTTGATTTTTCAAAAAAAAAAAAAATATTTTTTCTTGATCAATAAAAGGGCAATGTTGTTGCAATGTTGTTGCAAATGTGTGACGATTATTTTGCTCTTAAACTATACATATTTGATTTTCATTATATGTTTCCATTACTTCCATTACGTTCCATTACATATTGATTAATTCCCATTATTTCCATTCTTTTCTTTGTGATTAACCCTAGGCAAGGTCACATACCATCATTAAAAATGTATTATCCTGATGTTCCATGCATGTTTTTTCATACTGTGCAATAAAATCGAGTGTCTCTTTGGTTTGATGTTCGAATGTTGGTAGTAACAATGCCACTCTTGTACTTTCCGTCACATACGGCGATGGGACGATCTCAACTCGACCTAATGGCTTCACAGCTTCAAAACTAAATCATATGTTTGCGTTAAAGTTCCCATTTTTAAAAATTAATTCGAAAATTGATACCTTTTCACAATAATTTTTTCATTCCCTTCATGCTTTTCACTGAACATCAAGTGTAGTTGATAGTCCATTCCACGAACTGGATCGAAAGTAATTAAATAAATAAAAATAATTTATTTATAAATAATTCAATTAATTTACCTGGATCGAATCGACGGTAAATTGAATGCAAATCCGTGTAGATCAAATTCGGATAGATTTTTTTCGCCTCAATCAATGTTCGACTTAAGACACGCTGAAAATACAAAATATCATTTTTTTTATGTATCATACGCTGTTAAGCACCAAAGATCTGTCTAAATCTTACTTTTATATCTTCTTGATCGATTCGTGATAGTAGTCCAATGTTTTGTTCGGAATTGGGCATAATTTGGTGTGTTTCGTTCATCAGTGACCAGGTCCGAAGGTCATATCTCGTATCTGGCTTGCTGGGTGGCGGAACTCCAAGTGGCCACCGTACTTGGAGAATATCATTCGATATGCTTCCATTCATTATTTGCCTCACGGCATCGTCTAATTGCTGACTTTCTGCGTGAATTGCTTCTAAATTCAACTATTAAACAGATTTGGTTTAATACTTTTCTTATAAATATATCAGACCTTAACGCTTAACTCAACTGCTGCTACTTATACTTCGACCAGCTATTGTTTGACAGCAAATAGCAGCAGTTGGGCAGTCTTTTATTTGGGACCCTTTAAATACCTTTGAAAAATACGAATGAAGTACGTAAAAATCTTCGGCCGTCTTAACTGGATGGACCATTGAAGCATTGTTGAACGATGGATCGCTGTACAAAAAGTGCAAATCTCTGTATAGTTTGTACGTGTGCAAACGATAATTCGGAAATTGTATGCCCTGTAAATAAAGTTCAACGAAACGTGTTAATTAGTTAACGGCAATTACTCAATTTTTGTATAATATATAGATTTAAAGAGAATAGCAGAAGAAAGAAAAATAAAGAAGTTATCTATTTCAATATTAATTACAATAAAGAGGTATAGAAAGAAAAAAGTGACGACTGGAGCATCGCCAAGGTTGTAATTATTAAATCACACATTCAGCACGATTCAATTGCATGTGTTTGGCATGTCGTTATTCACCGAAGTATTCATTGTATCGTTGATAATTGAACAAAATTATTAAAACATGTATTATCCCGGAATTTGTAGAAAAAAAAAAACAGATTTTTGAAGGTTCGAGAAATAATCAAGACCGATCTTAATATGCAAGTGTCTGAAAAATACAAATTTCCTCATCGTTCTTCGAATTTTCGTTATTATTCCCCTTTGACTCCTAATTCTTGAAAATTCCAGTTTAATTGAAGCCAAATTCAATGCAAAATAAAAACATCCGTAACACAGTAGGTAAGTAAGTAATAGGCACTCTTTTCCCATGGATTACCTGAAAACTTTGTTGGCACCCGGAAATTTTGCTGGAGTATTTAATGCATCGTCCAATATTCAAACTGTCTGAGTTAGTGGCGGCATTCCGAACGCACCTACGTGATAAAAATGGTGAAAAAATTACATTGGTACTCAAAAAAGTCATGAAATCATTGCTTATATCAAATTGATATTATCAATATCTGTTTTGAAATCATCCCCTGAAAATTTGCGAAAAAAGTCGAAAATAATTCGAACATAAATGATAAAAACATACCAATCCAAATTGGATCGAATCTTCCGAATGAGACTGCTGCTCAGAATAATGCCAGCATTTAAATCGCAGTAATCTCGTTCCTTTTCCATCATCCGGCTGTGTTCATCGCTATCAACAATATCGCTTGCATCTCTCTTATGTCCAATATACACATCAAAGCTGATACTAATATGATTCAATTGTTTCAGCAATCGTCTTGCATTCACATACGTTGTGTCGGTGGCCAATAGAAAGAAATCATAATCGTCTAAATAATTGTCGGCGATATATTTCAGTATATGAAATGGTTTTAAATGATCGCGTACATCCGTAAAACCGACAATATTCTTCAATTTAAAATTGGTTCGTACATTGTCGGCCGCATTTATAAAATACTTGATTTTATCAACATGATGGGCTGTGGTGCGATTGAATGCCGTGGCCAACGAATTAATATGACGTTGATTGGTTAGAACGCCGATAAACAATTTTTCTCGTATTCCCAGTTCCGATGAATAATATCGCGGTCGAATGATATTTTTGGCCGTTTTTTTCGCTGTCATTGGTTTATTGACGAGATTTAAACGTGGCTCAAAATCATCATCTTGTGCCATCATCTTTGGTGCATCACCGTTGAACGATTCCGGACATTCTTGTTCGGTTATCTCCCATGCATTGTCGGGCAAACATATCGTCAATATCAAACCGACCACGAAACCAATGAAAAAGAAATGATTCCGATTCAATTGCATTAAACGCATAAATTGCCTCATTTTTCACTTCTACTCCAGTAAATTATAACCAATTTTTTTTTCTATTCAACTTTTTTTTCGGTTTGACAAAATATGCCACTGTTCCTCATCTCAATGCAGTCATATTTTTCAGTGTTTAATTTGCTTTGTTTACACCAAAAAAAAAAATGATCACTTTGAATATCAAAAATAAATTATTCTAAAAATGTGGACCGGAAGACACACTATGGAATAATACCAAATTTTATCGCAACATTCAAGGAATCACAGTCAATGTGGCATGAAATTTGTTTTTCACACGATACAAGATAGTTTTTATTTAATCAATGTCAAACTAATACTCAAGATCACTAGCATATCCAGTGATTATTTATGCACCAAATTAGAACACTTCAAATGATCGACTCATTTCAAATGTGCATCACTTTATTTCCATCTTCAAAAGACATTCAACCGAAAATTACATAGAAATTCTTTCATAATTCAAAAATGTTTGCATTTTTATTCAAAATATGATTTGTTTGGGTTGTTTTTATTTACGTAAAAAAAAATTCGACGAAAAAAAGCAGAACATTGAAATACAAGTGTTGCCAAAGTCAAACGAACCGATGTATGTGTGCGTTATTGAAACGAATGGAAACAAAATGTCAAAGCATTGAGTGGTATTACTTGAGTGAAACTCATACACAAGCACGTATGTGTGTATCTCTTCACCGGTTGTGTTTTGACACATAGAATCTTTTCCAATGGTGCTGTCTCTTTCTGGCAATCGCCGCTTCGACCATCGAACGCTGTTGGAACGAATGAGAAAGTTACATTAAATAATACCAAGCGCTATGTGTGCGTGTATGTGAGTGTAAATTCTGTGAAGTGGTGACAAATAGAGTTGAATCAAAGGCAACTGGAAACCACCGAATAAATACATTTTTTTCTGCTCTCAATGATTTAATTCGATTGAATTAAAAAATAGTTTGTGTTTGCAAAGTGTGTATCGATATAAAAAATTTAAAAAATGGATAGTAAAGGACGGAATGTAATCGTGTGTGACAATGGCACTGGCGTACGTATAATTTCAAACAATTTTTTCCTCTCCCACAGATTGGAAGAAAAAAAATGGTTGCATTCACTGAATTGTTGTAATGTTATGGGATGGGCCCAATGCGATGATATCACAATACAAGATAAACATCCATCTAGCCGATCGTTTACGCGTCGAAAATAAGTTTTTCCACTTGAAACATAAAATAAAATTGTTTCGACGATATGTCCATAATATGACGGTGGTTCCATAAAAAGAGTTACAAATTTGGGTCACTGCACCTGTCAAACAACTTGTATTGTGTATATTGAACAACGCAATATTGTTATGATTCATGTCCGCGATTTGATTCGATAACGGCGAACATTCATCTAATTTGTGTTTTGTGTGTTTGTTTTCTGCAGTTCGTGAAATGTGGCTATGCGGGCAGTAATTTTCCGGCGCATATATTCCCATCGATGGTTGGTCGTCCGATTTTGCGAGCGGCTAATAAAATCGGTGACATCGAAGTCGAGGTTTGTATTTCAAATTCCACTCCATTCATTTATTACAATTATATTTTGTTTTTCGATTTCTGATTAGTTTTTAAAAATATATTCAAATTAGACACAGAAAACAAAAAAATTTAAAGAAACAAACTAAAATTCCCCAATTTATATTTTACAGAATTTACATGTCGATGTAAGTTTTTATATTCCTTTCCTTGCGTCATCAACACAAAATTACCAATCTCATCAAAATGAAAAAAAAGAAACGATTTTTTTTCTTCTTTTGAAAAATGAAGACGCACCGAAACGCAATCAGAATAACATACAATACACACAATCTAACTAGTACAGAATCGGATCGCATCAAAATTTTTCACACAAAAAATCATTTTTTTTTATTTTTGCTTAATTTTCTAAATTGTTTTCGTTTGTGGTGAATCTTTTTTTGGCATTGTGGCTTGCGTATGTTTTTCTGGCAAAGAGTTTTTAACATTTTTTTATGCATTCGGATTGGTTGCTCGCAGTTTTGTTTGTTTATTTGTTTCGATTTTATGTTGCGTGTGGTTTTTTCTTTAAGTTTTTTTAGTGATTGAATAGCTGCAGGGTTATTGTAGGCACTCTTTGGTGGGACAAAATATTTTATTTTGGTTCTCTTTTAGTTTATGTTCTTGTTTGCACATTGAGATCTGACAACCAGACATTGTACTGAAGTAGCCGGTTTAAATCTATGGTTTGCTAGTAGAAATACATCATCTAGCAGAGCTGCGTGAGAGAGAGATGTCATCTTTTGGTCAGAGCGAGACAGCGAGTGCCAAAATACCAAAAATTACCAGGCTCTTACATTTTTAACCGAAAAAACAAAAAAAATGAAAGAAACAAAATAGTGGCTTGGTTTTTTCGGTGATTTTTAATGTCCGACTAGGATTGCTTATCAGTGCTTTTGGTATTTTGGTACCAATTCGCCTCTGGATGAGATCACACTGAAAATCCGTACTCTCCTCTTCCACTCCCATATAATATGGCAACTATGGCTAGACGATGAGCTATTTCAGATAGTTGGTACAATTTTCATCTTAAAAATTGTCCAGCAAAGTACAATGTCTGTGTACAAAAACGGAAAAGGTGTCATTTATTTGATTTTCTTTTGTGATGTGTTCTTTTGATGTAAAATTCATGAGATTTATTGTTGTATAATGTTTTTATGCACGATTTGTTTGTGTTTGAGTTTGTTATTGTTCTGTTTGGTTCTTAATTTATCTATACACTTTACACACACATTCTCTGATAAGCTTATATCATACGCTGATTGTTTTTCTTCTTCCCTTTTTGGTTTTTGTAATTCGATTTCTAATACGAGTCGTTGCGATGGAGATATGGATCTGTTTGGCACAAATGGATTTTTTTCTCATGTATCGAATGAGGACAGTGTCCTTAGGAAAAGAGTGGCCTCTCTATTCACGAATATAGCAAATCTAATTACGTAGCCATTGTATGCAACAAAGAAGATCTATTATTCCCCATCACATCGACTCATATGTGTGTTTTTGTTTGTCCACTAAATTCTTGTGTTTTATGTGTTGTGATCAGCCCAGAACCGTTTCTCTTTACCAATAATAATGTTTTAGCTACAATTTATACTTTCCTCTTAGTCCGCTTGTGATTAGTGGGAAAAATATGTGCATTAAAATTGATTTGGTGTCATTTTTATTATTTGAAAATTTAGGATTTAATGGTTGGAGATGAGGCGTCCAAATTGCGAGCCATGCTCGAGGTGTCGTACCCAATGGAGAATGGTATCGTACGAAATTGGGAAGATATGTGTAATGTATGGGACTATACATTTGGCCCAAAGAAAATGAACATCGATCCAAAAAATACAAAAATTCTACTCACCGAACCACCAATGAATCCATTGAGAAATCGAGAGAAAATGATTGAGGTAAACCAATGTGACAACATTTTCCTTCAAATTTAAATATTTAAATAATAATTTCTCGGTTCAATTTAGGTGATGTTTGAAAAATATGGCTTTGATTCAACGTACATTGCCATTCAAGCGGTGCTCACACTATATGCTCAAGGTTTAATTTCTGGTGTGGTCATCGATTCGGGCGACGGTGTCACCCATATTTGTCCAGTTTATGAAGAGTTTACATTGCCACATTTGACACGACGTCTCGATATCGCCGGCCGTGATATCACACGTTATTTGATCAAAGTAAGGAACTTTTTATTCGGCACACCTAGTGGCGTGGAAATTGTATTTTCTCTTTCTAAAGAAAATCTAATTTTAATTTAGTTGCTGCTGTTGCGCGGATACGCTTTTAACCATACGGCCGATTTTGAAACGGTGCGAATGATGAAAGAGAAATTGTGTTACATTGGCTATGACATCGAACAAGAACAACGACTGGCATTGGAAACAACGGTTTTGGTTGAATCCCATACGGTATACAACTTTTTTGCTTAATTGAAAATTCGCGATTGTGAAATTGAAAATTAAAAATTTGCAGTTGCCCGACGGTCGAGTGATTAAAGTTGGTGGCGAACGATTTGAGGCGCCCGAAGCACTGTTCCAACCACATTTAATCAATGTTGAAGGTCAAGGCATTGCTGAACTCGTATTTAATACAATTCAAACAGCCGACATTGACATGCGACCGGAATTATACAAACATATCGTTCTATCGGGTTAGTGTCACCAAGGGAAAAATTGACTGATTTTGCTTCAATTCAAAAACTTTTCATTAAAAAAAAATTGATTTATTCTTTCAACAGGTGGTTCAACGATGTATCCAGGCCTGCCGAGTCGATTAGAGCGTGAAATCAAACAATTGTACTTGGAACGTGTCCTAAAAAATGACATCGAAAAATTATCGGTAAGATGGAATATTGATTTCAATCGTAACACAACTAATTCGCCTATTTCAATTTCATGTAGAAATTCAAAATACGAATCGAAGATCCGCCGACGCGTAAGGATATGGTTTTCATTGGTGGTGCTGTGTTGGCCGATGTACGAAAAGATCGTGATTCATTCTGGTTGTCAAAGCAAGAGTACGAGGAGCAGGGCTTGAATATACTGAATAAACTAACTCTACGATCATAATTGTCACCGTTTGTTTTTTTCTAACGCTTAGCATTAAGTGAATTAGATAAGAAAATAATAAATTTATTCATATAGAAAACTATTTCCAAATGAGAAGATAAGATTGTCAGCAATAACTATATTAATTGAGACGCATCGAAAATACACGATACACTATGAATATTATAAGGTTTAAGACTTTACTATCGTGATGTTTCATGTTTTTTCTTCTACTTCTGCCAAAAATTCAGGCTCATCGACAATATTCTCTCAAGTATTCAAACAAATTAAATAAATATTGAACATTCTATGACAGTGCATTTGTAAAACTATTCTTTGAACCTCTACTGATACTCGTAGATTGGGCGGTTGAAAATTATAATTTAAGTCAACTTTTGAGTGTAAATAACGAGAAATACCGAAATAGGTGTGCGGAAAAATAAAAATTCGATTTTCCGAATTTTCAAGGGTTTTTCCGGATTTTTCACACTTACTGCCCCCAATTGAAGACTGTCATCAGTTGTCCAGAATTGTAAATTGACGTAAAAACTTCAATTTATAGAAATATTAAATTTTTTGAGGATATTTTCCAAAAAAAAAACAGCCAAAACTAATTCGAAATAATTGGTAAAAAAATTTAAAAACAATCGAACAAAATTTCGTAAATTATTTTTCAACTATTTTCAATTTTTTTTAAATTTTTCATTCAATTTTTTAATGATTCAATTGAAAAACTGAAAAAGAATTGATTTTAAAATTCCATCTCTAGACGGTTTAATGCAGTAGAGGGTTGACAAAGAAAATCCATTAAAAAATCGTAAAAAATATTACCGGAGACTGAAAATTGGTTGAAAAGCAAGTGCTTTTAAAGTAAAAGTAAAGTTCGGAAAAGGTTCAATATGCCAATTTTTTCCAGATTGTAGCCAATTCTCCAGACGCTGAAAATTGAAGACAATTTGTGTCTGTAACAATTAAATCTATATAATCTAATATCAATATTGTAAGATGAATTGAATTATTGAATTATTGTATAAAAAGATGTCATTAAGCAATGCAAACTAATTTTGCGTAAAATTGAGAATAAATAAAATCGATTAATTAAAAACAGCATTATGAAATGTAAAAAAAAGTCATGCTCTAATATAATTCTGCATTTGTAATAATTAGATTTAATACATATATTAACACGCTCTTCCGAATATTTTTTTTTATTTTTATATTTTATTGACGAAAAAAATGCAATTTCTACTTTGTTTCATGAAAGCTTGGAATACAAATTTAGATGTATTAAACGGGTCTATTTAATATGTAACCAACGGGTCGGCATCCGATTCACTGAGCTGGATTTCGATACTGCTGTCATCGAGCAGATTGGCCAATGTATCCTTGAACTCGGTTAAGTATCCACGTTCTGAATTGCTGTGATTGCACAGAATTACGCTGACATTGTTGTGAATCGCTTCGAGGACATCGTGATGGGACATTTCACCTGTAACGACAGATCGAATACATTTTTTGAAATAGTTTTTTTGGGTATTTAAAAGAATGATTTTTGACATTTGGAAGAATACAAGACAGATAGACTGTCATTCAATGGCTACTTGATACTTCTACCAATGCCATTAGTCTAGTGTCGCAATTCTATGTTTTTTCACCTCTGTCAACTCTGAAAAAATACGCATAACCCCTGGTAGTTTGATCTAGGCCCGACTCTTTGTGAAATATAATCTGATGCGAATGCATTTTTTATTCATTGAGCTCAATCATACCACGTGTAATTTTTCAGAGTCTGTGTTCTTTGATTTTTCCACAAACCCACTGTGTGCAGTAAAGTATTTCATGTTTGCTAACAAACAACTTATGAAACACCAAACAGTATTTTTTACGTCAAAAAATTCCATACTCACCCGAAATATACAAATCGGCTTGTACACCCTTTAATACCGAGCTACCGCTGCCAGGGCACACCGCAAACGAATTCACGGTAGAATTCAGTGTCTTATTAACACCGATTGCAACTTGAACGGTTCTAATTCCTGTATGCTTTTTAACGCGTTCAATCGAATCGGCCAATGTAATTGGAGTGTTCGATTCAACCTGAGCAACACGGCCACAGCCGATGTTACTATTTTCAGCCGATGGTAATATAATATGAGATTCTTTATGTGGCAATGCTTTTGCCAACCAATCACCAATCGCACCGCGATTATTATCCCATGATGTATGTGGTGAATAAAGAGCAATCCGATTCTCCAAACATACCGAAACCAATCGCGTTTTCCATGACCTATAGAAAGACAATTTGGAACGAACACCATTATACCAGTACACTCAATTGACAATATACCTTACCCACAATTAGAGCTGTTATTGCCACCGGAGAAGTGCCCACTCTTATTCCAAGTCATTTTTCGAGTTGAGCACAAGAAAAAATAGTACTTACAAGAAAAAATTCCACGCTCCGGCGATGCCTATAACAGCTCTTGGTGAGTGGAAAAGTAAAAAAGTGCAAAACAAACCATACTTTTGTGTGATGGTCTTCAGTCCGGAGAAAATTGGTGGATGATACGAGATGATTAAATCGGTTTTCTTTTCCACAGCTTCGTGCAGCACTTTTTCCGTTAAATCATTGGTTAAGAATATCTTCTGTATTGGCCTATACATGAATAGAAATAAATATAATAAAAAGAGCCGAATTGAAAATGTTAACCTTACTTTGGTGTTGCCGGTTCAATCAAAAGACCGACATTGTCCCAGCTTTCGGCTGTTTTGACATCGGCAAAGCCATTCAATTTTTGCACAATTTCTCCCAATGAATTCACCATATTTGTTGTAGAAAATCCTCTTGCTATCAAATGTTTAATAATTTTTTCAGACATAGCCAACAATTTTCCGTCACCGTTGATTGGTATATTTCGAAGTCAGATGTTCATTTTCGAACATCGAGTGTCAAATACACACAGTGAATTTAAAAGTTAATCGGTTAAATGACTTGCAATTTTGAATCATACATTTTTTCAGACTGATGTCATCGAATTTTAATGATTTTTATTTAAAAATGCCATAAAAACCTTTGAAATGAAAAAAAAAACAAGTAATTTTTTTATAAAATTACAGCAATGAACCAAACGTAAACAAACAATATTATTTCGTTTTTCGAACTGTCATTCGATGTGTCAGCACTCTCTGTCACTCGTGCGAAACAGACAAAAACAAAACAAACCCATAAACATATTGTGGTTAGTTTGTGCGTGCAGTCGATTGTATAAGGCATAGAAAGTGAAAAAAAAATTAAATTCATCTGTTAGTCATGTGTTGACAAAGTCTCGCGCCAATTGAGATTTAATACTGACCTTTGAACATACACAAATTGCCAAACATTGATTAGTTAGCATTATTCCATTCCGTCGATTCGATAACAAATGTGAACTTCAAAAATTCTCAAGTTTATTTGTGCACACTTGTTATCAATTGTGGGATTTTTTCGTGTTATTTTTTTTGGAGATTGACACGAATCGTCTGATTCAATACGAATAATATTTATTTAGTCTAAAATTGGTTGGCAAACAGATCGGTTTGAAAAGTTTGTTTATCTGTGGGGGAGCATTTAAAATGGGTTTAATAACAATGATTTTGGCGTTGCCGTTTGAGATGTTGCGCGGTTACATAATTCAGCCAGTTGTGGATCGGACACACAACACCTACGATGACTATCGAAATCGCACCAAACAAGGAGTGATAACAACACGCGAGGTAATGATTAAATTGGCGATTCTTGCATTTGCCGCAGCTATTATCATCTGGATGGCAGTTTTCATGTACATTGCATTCTACTACACATACATGCCATCGATCGCACATGTACGACCTGTTTACATGCAATTTAAGTAAGATATCTTTTGGTTAATCACCGAATAGTAAACACCTGCCCACAAAAAAAAAACATTTCGAGGCACCATTGGCTCTTTTCAGTCGATTGGAACCAGAAAAATCGAGTAAAAAGAAATTTGTTTTTATAAACAAATGTTTTTCTGGTGATAAATGAACCTATACTGCTGGAGGGTTAAAGAGCATTTGTTCGTTTATATTTTTAATAAATAAAACCATCCGTCGCCATAATAAAATCAAATGAACAGTTACGATTACAAATGTAAACGAGCTCCTGACACTGAAAAATCTCCGGCTCTATATGATGCTCTCTTTGTTCAATTTGCTTAAAACTAAAAGAATCTTTTCTTTCCCAAGGACTTGTGAAGAAATCATTGGACCGTGTTCGTTTCCCCAGGCGCATGTTTTATTGACCCGAAAACAGCAATTGCTTATGGTTGGTCAACCGTATCGTATATCAGTGAATATCTATATGCCTGAATCCGAACAAAATTTGCGCTTGGGAATGTTTATGGTGTGCGCTGAAATGCGAGATCAACGAACTCGATTGCGAAATCATGCGTGCCGTTCGGCAATGCTACATTACCGTTCCCATTTGGCACGTACAATATCAACATTGGTGATGAGTCCGCTCATTATATTTGGTATCAAAGAAGAAACACAACAAATACCCGTTGAAGTATTTTCAAGCTACGAAGATGATCAAGAAAATCCGGTCACCGATGTTTTTGTCGAAATTCAATCGAAACAAATTCAATTCTATTCGGTTACACTGCACATTATCGCACATTTCACTGGATTACGTTATATTATGTTTCATTGGCCAATACTCTCTGCTTCAATAGGTAAGAGCTAATTGGACTTTTCCAGTGTGAGGGAAGAGTATTTGATTTTGTTGTTTACTATATGAATTTTATCGATTTCCAGGTATTGGAGCGAATCTGTTCTTCATAATGACGGTCAGTCTATTGAGCTGGTACCATTGGTCGGATTCCGTATGGATGGAGGAGACACGTAAACGTATTCGTGATCGTGCCGAAGAAAGTCGCCGAAAACGTGCCGAGGTTATGTCCGCATCATCTATTGGAGAGAAAACATTCGATGACGACGAAGACATAAGCATTCTAGAAGAGAAACCCATGCAATTCGACGATGACAGTGATATTGAAGAATTAACCGGTTTCAGCGAAAGTGAGATACGCCAACGCAAACCACAACTCAGTGAAACAGCTTCCAGCTAAATCAATCACAATTTATCAATAAGCATAAACTATTTGAGATAATTTAATCACACAGCCAAACAATGAATAAGAAAATAGTTTACAGAGAATTAATATAATATCGTTAGAAGGCTATTCGCTGTAACATATATAATTCACGTAATGCAATCGAATATTGCATTTAATTGATAGTTAAACAAATGCCATATTGAACCGTTTTAAGAGGTTAATACGATTTATTATTAGAGCAGCTTGTACATTCGAAGTACATACATCACTTAAAGCAAAAAAAAAAAAAACTTACCAATTAATACCAAATAGAATCTTCGATTTTATCAATTGATTCTGACTAAACGCAATGTTTTTAATTCGAATAATTAAAGAAAATGTGAAGCATACACACGCCATACAAATATGGCAAGATTCCAAAGATGAACATTTAAAAGAACCAAATACTCTCTTAACACACACAAAAAAGACGATTTTACAAAGAATTTATCGTGTGATCGATATCATTCCGATTTTGAAATGAAAAATAAAGAAAACTCGAAACAAATATTTTATCGTCAACCATTCGACGATGTTTATAATTTTTGCATTTTATTTAAATTAAATTGATGAACAGGTTAATGTCAACATTTTTGATTAAATAAAATATTTAATTGAAAAACTAATGACCACCGAAAAAGATGAGCGGACAAATAATCATATTAAAAAGATGTTTTTCGTTAGAAGAAGAACGGTGTAGTCTTCGATAAATGATTGAATTTTTTCACGATTTAGAGATCTCTGAATACTGGGTACTCTCCTGACCTGGTGCAAATACCTTTGCAGCATGAGTCACTTCGGTTGATGTCACACTGGCAATAGCGTTAAAAAAGAATCAGAAAGCACGTATTTGTTAATAGTCACTCGAATGACAGCAAATATTTTCAAGTTTTTTATACCAACCCCCGAGCCAGTTGCATCCATTTCATCCGACACAGGAAGCTCTGTAATCTCAGGCAAGACTTGTGTAATTTGTCTTGAAGCAACAAGCGATGTGCTCCTTTCGTGTGGGCATTTTAAATATTGTTTAAAATGCTTTGAAATGGAGCAAAAAATATTTTAACGAAAAAGTGATTTAATACGAGTTTATTTTTTCGTGACGAATTTATGTCCGAAATATCAAAGAAAATAATTCCTTATAAAATTTGGTCATATTTTCCCCAAGAAAAATATTTTATATTCGGGAAATTATGGCCAAAAATCCAGAGAAACTATTTCCAGTTCGATTTGGACAGAATTTCCCGGGGAAAATATTACCAAACTGGTGGGGAATTTATATCCAAAACTTAATGGCTACAATTTCCCCATACATTTTTTTGAAAATCTGAGAAATTATGACCGAAATTAGGGGAAATTGTGGCCGGGGAAGATATGTCCTGTAGCCAAATCTTATAGGAAAGTAAAAAAAAGTCACTTTCATCTGAAAACCAGAGATTAGAATAATCAACTTTAAACCGATTTTATGATTCATTTTTCAGACAACGAAGAATTTATTGATTGTTGTGACAATGCATTTTGGTGTTACACATTTCAGATTTTCATTTACGTCTCTGGGGAGGGAGTTAGCGTGAATATGCAAACATAACGTTACCAACACCATCAATGACATGATATTTAAAAAAAAAATGCTAGAAATGTCTTATTTTGCGCCTTGGAAAATTCCGTTTATCAATTGAAAAATTCATTTGCGAAATAAATGTTCAGAACAAAAATGTGTTGAATTGTGTAGTAAACAATATTTCATTCGATTTGAATAGAAAATGACACTATGCGGAAGCAAAAATGCGATTTAATTATAATAAATATACATAAATTCTTTCGTCAATAAGTTTGACATTAAAAAAGCATTATTGAGGAAACATCTGAATAATGAAGTTCTTCGAAACGTAAAAACACATCAAAATAATGCAAATGTTTCGAATAAAGAGTCTTACAGGAGTAAGACGAACTTTTCCGCACGGTGGTATTTGCGTATTTTATTAAGCAAGTTCAAAATAATATTTGTTCGATTTTTCAAGCCTTTCAAGCGGCGTAAAGTTCGAGACCAAAAAAACTCAACTTTGGCATCGAAATATTCTTTTATTTAATAACAGAAGTACTCGAGAAAAGATTTTTCACACTTTCATGATGAACCCATTTGTACGACATTTGAAAGTATTTCATTTTCTAACAAAACACTATAAAAAAATATGTCTGACGTTAATTTTGCCATAAAAATTATTTTTGAAACACTTTTCATAACTAACTATACTACCTTAATGGCGTGAAAATTTGTACAGGTTATTTTTTTCACAAAAAAATAACATTTGGAGGGTTTGGAGAAATTTCAACCAAAATTAAGAGTACCTCCCATACAAAATATTCGTTTTTGAGCCGAAAATTGAAAATTTTGTATGGGAGGTACCCCTAATTTTAATTCAAATCTCTTCAAACTTTCAGAATGTTATTTTTTTGTGTAAAAAATAGTCTGTGCAAAGTTTCACGTCATTAAGGTAGCATACAGGCATGGCTCCCATACAAAAATTCAATTTTTCGAGATTTTTTCAAGGAAACTGTATCAAAAATTGATTGTATCTCAAAAATAACCTCGGATTCGGTTTTCTCGTGTCAAAAAACCCCCCAATACATATTTTTGAGTGTTTAAGTCTACATTAAGTATGAGTTTTGGACGAAAATTGGACTCTTTTTCATAGGTATCACTCCAGGCATGAAATTCTTTTCCATCAACCAAAGTCGCTCAAAATCTGATGATTTCTATTCCTGGGGACCCCCAATCATCCCGTGAAGTCAGATTTCAAATAACTTTTCTGGGTGGTGAGAAAATCGATGGACAAATTTTGCGTACGGGACAACGTACGACGTACGACGTGGAACAGACCCACAACAACCATGCAAAAAACGGCCTGATTCGGGTTCTCTGACCTCAGAAACGTCCAGAAAACATGTTTTTGAAGTTTCGTAAATTTTGACCTATTGCAATACTTTCCCCTTTCACACTAGGTGTGTGCGGAAAAGTAATAAAGGGCCAACATTGCCTATATAAACGTAACCCAATCGAGAGAAATTATTAGTAAGCAGTGAGTTATCAACTCTTCTCGATAATAATTATTAACTTAAATTGTTCAAATTGGACGTTTTCTTGAAACGTCAATCATTTTGCTGAAAACATGTTGGGCCGAAATGTTTTTATACTATTTTTCATTGGAGTCGTATTTTGTGGGGTAAATTAATACGTTTTAAATATTAAGATATCCATTTCAATTAATTTTTTTCACATCACTTTTCTGTTTATTTGGTTTTTTTCACTTTTTCCCACAGCTCATTACTGATGTGATCGCCGTTGGTGGTACTGGTCTAGTCAAAAAAGGATTGAAAACTGTACGCAAAGCTATTAATCCAACAGACAAGGAGCTTGAAGACAAGATGTATGAATTGGAAGGAAGAGGCGGCAGTTTTAGTACCTGGCGTGCAAATAGAATTCAGGACAAACTCGATAAACGTGAGAGCAAAGCGATAGACAATCGTTATTGGCAGGCTCGAGTTAATTACAATCGATCATGAATACGCGAATATAATAATAAATGACAACAGACCAAATCTCTAAAAATCAAATTGGTCAAATAAAGATGATGGAAGATGAGAAATTAAATGATTTGAATTATGGTCCATATATTTGTCCTTTCTCATTGTCCCCCTTAAGGTTTGAGAGTAATTTTACCTCCGGCGGTGGTAATCGAGTCAATTTTATTAATTAGGCCCATTCTGATGAACCATACCATGAAGAATGGGCAGTGCATGGAATGAAATGCTCAAAAATTAAGTGATGCTAATTGTGGTGCACAGGGGGTATGCACGGATAACCCCCTAAATTCTTCGTACAAATTTCTTTCAATTCAGGGTTTTTCATTGGCTCCCTTAAGTTTTGAACATGCCCATGAATGGTGCTAAGTATCATTTTATTTCCAAACGAAATGATTTCAAAGCCTTGATTTTCCACAAAAAAAAACTGAATAAATAAATAATTCAAATAAAGACTGAAGGAACCAGCAATTCAATACAAATTTCAATACAATCTAAACGTCTTCAACCTTTTTTTTATCGCTGTTCAAATGACCCTGACTAAGATATTTCGAGAACTTCGATCGATTCCATCGAAATGAATGCGATTAAATGTTGATTTGGTTCCTCTTTCTTAAAAAATGACCCATTTAATATTGTGAATGGTAAAGATACGTTCACATTTGCCACTGCGGCAATATGAAAGTCAGAATGCTTTCAAGCAGCACAACATCTGATCATCCGATGCTATTATTTATTCAATAAGAGAAAGGTAGAATATAAATAGATGTCTGTCCCCTCTCATTCTATGTCTTTGAATGTTTCTATATAAACTGCCGATTGTATCACATAAAATTCAGTTATTGAACTTAAGCCCGATATTATCAAACTTGAACTTTAAATTCAAAAATTTCGCAAACCAACTTTTTTCCACTCACCATTTGTGAATTAGTAAATTTTGAAACCAATTAATTGAAAATGAAGCTAAGCATTATTTCATGCATTTTGCTGTTCACCTTATTAAGTATGTGAGAAATTATTTAAAACAGAAAAAAACTTTTTAAATCTTTTATTATTGCAGCACCAATTTGGGGTCGCGTCCGGGAACAAAAAATTATAAAAAAATATCATCTTATAACTCTGGCAGAGGTAAATTAAAAGCATTTTCATCCATGTTTTTGAATGATAGAAGCTTCCAGAGTTTGAATCTTTAAAGTGCAATAAAATGATAAACAAGTGGTGTAGAACAAATTATGGTATGTGTCATCATAGAAAATAATAATAAGTATTTGAAATTATAGGTAAATTTCTACAAAGCCGTTGGATTTTGCCGTAGCATTGGTATGCATTTGGTTAGCATTTCATCAGAAGAAGAAAGCGAACGACTTACACAGCAAATTAAAATCGAAGGTAATTTTACGCGATTTTACTTTTCAGCACACCCAGTGTGAGAAAGATATTTTCTTCTTAAATGAAAATATAGTTCATATATAAATCAATGAAAGATGACATAGGAAACGATTGAAAAAGCTTTACTTTGATAACGTTCATCTAACTCAACTAATGTAAATCCATCAATTTTTAATAATAGGTCTTGAAGCGAACGATTTTTGGACATCGGGATCAAAATTGGCCGGCAATGGCACATGGGAGTGGGTGGGCATTGGTAAACCAGTCATATTTACTAATTGGTCAACAGGCGAACCATCCAATCCCGATGAACAATGCATAATCATTAAGGGCAATAGCGGTGATCCAAATGAGGCTCAAAAATGGAATGATGCTAGTTGCGATCAAAAATCACATTTTATTTGCGAAAAGTATGAAAGAAAGTGAATATTGTGAATATTTGTCGAATTCAATGAACTTAAAATATGATAGAATACAATTTTTTGATATGCAAATTCAAACTCTTCATTGAAATGTTTTATCTACTGGAGTTTGAGTTTCGTTAATTGATAAGTTGATAGAACAAAGCTATAGAAAACGGTAGATTTCATTTTTTGCACAGTTTGTTGACTGTCTTAAGATTTATGGAGACAGTTTGAGTGTAAGAAAACCGGTTAACAGCAAAAAATACACCGAATAAATAATATACGTTCGACGAACTATCGCTATGACTGATTTATAAAATTTTATTGAAACATTTCACAAACAAACACACTCAAAAAAAACATTGAATTGAAACATTTATTTATTTATATTCAAAAACGAGTTACCATTTTATCCGATTTTATCAAAACTGAATAAGGTGTAATTTTAATTTAAGTACATTTTCTTATGTACAAGTTTTTTATTATTAGTTTTTTGACTAATTACCAAATAAAAATACATTCTGCTTACATACAAGTGTGTGAGGAAAATAAAAAATGAGAAATAAAAAAGATTATATCAAATAACATGAGTTATCAATATTTTGTTGTTTGAAAATGCTATGTCGTTAAAAAAAAATCGTGAAAAAATCTGTTGGAGAAAAAAATGTAGTTTCCTTCGAATCGGAGTCGAACCGATGACAAATGGATTTCAAATGATATGCCACTACAGTCCACTGCTCTACCAACTGAGCTACCGAAGGTGTTAATCAACAAATGACGGGATCCAGTGTACAGATGTCCGAGTATTGATTAAATATCATGATATGAGTTTGATGAAACGAACTAAATTGTATGGATTGAGAATTTTTTTTATTATCTAATCTAAAGCATTTTTCATTAAAATATTCAAAAGAATTCAAGTTAATAAATAAAATGTTCTCAATCGTGTGTAATGGAAACTTGCTCGGTTTTAAATATTCTAGTGGTAAAAATGTCGTTCAAAATTATTTAGATTAGCAAATGAATAAATATTAATTGAGAACAAATGAAAAAAAGAAGAAAAAAGAATAATCCATTGAAATCGAACGCTGAACGTTTAGTGTCATACGCCGTGAATGCTTCCACTGTACCAAATCGATATTTGAATTTTAACAGGCGAAATGTTTATTTGTACAGATTCCATGCAAAATTGCCAATTGCGCGTATTAACTTCGGTATCATGATACTTGATACTCATTGTGATACGCCGTATCATAATCGACCTTGATACTTGATACTCATGTTCATACTCGTATTAAGATTGGTTTTAATAATATCTTGATAGAATATGAATGGGTCAGAATAAAAATCCGACTTGTACGCAGAGTTTATAAAAGTGGAACATGGAGTTTTTTTTACAAAAAACGCTGTGTTCCACTTTCAAAGACTCTGCGTACAAGTCGGATTTTTATTCTGACCCATTCATATCATCATGATATAAAATGTATTAAGATTCGGGTTTGGCACATCTATACTTGGATTTGACGTGAGTGGAAAATAAAACATCAGCAAAACCAATGAAAAATTGCTATTATACATTGAACTTATGTTGATTATTGAATTCAATTAATTTTCAAGTTGTTCTTCTTTGCATGGGACTTTCCATTGACTATTAAAGGCCAAACCGTTTACGGCTACACACCGAGGAGGAAATAATCGAGCTTGAAAAGTACTTCCGCCAATGGTCGAATGTCATGCAAATTACACGTTTATGGCCAGATATTGAGCAATTGTCAATTGCTGAGAATTCCATGAGTTCCACGCAAATTTTTCGCAATTTGAAATGTCTCGATTTAAAAGGGAATCCATTGAATTACTTTAATGAAGTGATTAAACTGGGCAACATAAAAACACTGCAAACACTCTACTGCATTGCCACTCATATTGAAACGAATCATTTGCCCGATTGCTGTGCATGGGATGAATATTTGGACATTTTCCCAAATCTTGAAGAATTGAATTTAAACGATAATCATTTAATTTACCAAGCAATGATATTTAATGAATTAGATAAACTTCCATCTCTTTCCAGAATATGGCCAACCGGATGACATTGTTGACAAGTCTCAAATTTTGTCACACTCAAACTAATCAATGGCAACACACATCAGGCAACTATTAAACGAATCTCACGTAATATAACGATATTGACACTTCAACAGTTGGTTGCCACATCAAAAGGCAACAACTGATTTGAAATACGTTGAGAATGAGAATAATATAGTCCTTGATATGAATAGTTTACACAAAACATTAGACTATTATTCGATCCAAGATGGCAACAGCGTGATTTCTGAATGGAAATGAATTCGGTATAATGGATGAAGTAATCAGCGAAAAGACTTGTAAACTTTTTTGTGATTTATTTAAATTCCTCAATAAAACAAGAACAAAACATTCGTTCAATTAACTTGGTTTTTGTTTAATTTGTTTAATGAATTCATACTTTTTTAGTATTTATAGTGATGGCATTGCTTACTTCAGTGTATTAGCAATTGAAATCTGAAGTATTCTTTTGTCAGAATAAAAAACCAATCTTTTCAAGAAGAAAAATTACAATAACAGTAAAAATAAAATGTCTTACATACGTAAGATGAACTTTTCCGCACTGTGATCCACAAAATTCATTTATAACTTATCTTTTACTTGAATTTGAACTCACGAAAACCTGAATCTGACATTAGTTTTGCGATACACATAATTTTTGACACACTTTTTATATAAAAATTACTTAAAATGGGAATTTTGGAATGGAATCAATCCTTGCATGACGACGTGAAACTTGACACAGGGTATTTTTTCACAAAAAGCCAACATTCTGGAAGTTTGAAAATATTCCAATACAATTTAGGGGTACTTCCCATACAAATAATTTTTGAACGACTTTACAATGCCTGTATGATTTCGTAATCATGTGAAAATTTGCAGATGTTTTTTTTCACAAAAAGCTAACATTCTGAAAGTTTGAAGAAATTTCAATACAATTGAGTATATACAAAATTTTCGATTTTGAGCAAAAAATCCAAAATTTTGTTCGGGAAGTACCCCTAATTTGCATTGAAACGAAGGGCAATCGCACTTTAAACACTGCAGTTGTGCTGCTCTCTGACATTTACAAGTTCAACCCTATGTAAAGACATTGCTTTCCTCTTCTTCTTCATTTACAAGAAGCATGTGCGTTATAGCAGCTTAACTTTGAGATACCAGGTGGCAGCACATCTGCGTGTTCGAAACCCAATACATTGCTTTAAATGGAGTGCGAGCAGAGCGTGCATTGAAATCTCTTCAAACCCTCGGAATATTATTTTTGTGTGATAAAAATAACCTGCGCAAAGTTTCAGGTCATTACGATATCATACAGGCATGGCTTCCATACAAAAATCCAATTTTTTTGGAATATTTGTATGAAAGGTGTGTCGAAATATATTTGTATCGCAAAACTAATGTCATATTCGATTTTCTCGTACCCAAAAACCCCCCAATACATATTTTTGGATGTTTAAGAATACATTAAATATCACTTTTGGGGGGAAAATTGAATTTTTCCCATGGATGGCCATGGGCATCACACCAGACATGGCACGTTACTCTATCAACCAAAGTCGCTCAAAATCTAATGGTATCTATTCCTTGGCACCCCCAATCATCCTGTGAAGTCAGGTTTTGAATTACTTTTCTGGTTCGAAAGTTATCGTGTTAACAAATTTTTGCGTACAGGGTACAGCGTACAGCATACAGCGTACAGCGTACAGGGTACCACGCACATACATTCGGACATCGAAAAAACGCTAGATTCGTGTTCCCTGGGTCCTAAAACACCCAGAAAACATGTTTTTTGGGGGTGTTAATTTTTCGACCGATTCCAATACTTTACCTTACACACTAGGTGTGTGCGGAAAAGTAAAATGAAACAGATTCACCAGTAGATAAAAATGCATCAATCAACAAACCTATTTCATAATTTATTTTTGAAATTTGGTCCAGCCTATGGAAAATTCGTTTAGTTCGCTTATGCTTCGGCACAAGCAAGTTGAATCAACAATCTTATTTTTAAGCATTTATAGGAACTGTTAAATTAAATTATGTTTCCGCAGTGGTATTCTAGCTTTCGGAACATCTCGAATGCAGTTTTTCTGATTTTTTATCAGCTTTTGATCCTTTATCTTGAATATTGTTCCATGGTTGAATCTCACCTGAACCCCAAACAAGGAAAGTAGATACACCTAATATTTTTGCCGAAAATGTTATCCAGAATACAGTTCGCCACTCCGATAGATAAGCCTATAATAAAGCAACTATTATTTTTATTATTAGTTCAATGGGAATATACGATTTTCTTACGTGTGGAGTCAAAAGAGCAACAGCATAGGTTGAAAATATTGATGTTGTTTTTGAAATTGTACCCATTAAACCAGCTAATGGTCCAACATAATTAGGTGCCAAATCCAATAAGTTATTACTTAATCCAGCTGTACTAAATCCAGCAAATCCCGTCGAAAGCACAAAAAACATCACAACAGTGAGCTCATCACAGCCAGCGTATGATGCACACATCAGAAAACATGCAGGAAATGCTGAGGCTACAGATTAAAAATTTCAAACCATTTTCAATCGGATTTTTTATGCCATTTTTCGGGTTTTTTATGACGTTTTTTGTTTGATCCATGTCCAACTTGTAAGCAGTCAATTAGCGACGTACCTAATACCTAGTACCATAGTTAAATGACGTACCTAATACGACGAATATTTTCCGAATTTTGGTGATACTAATGCCTTTTTTCTCAAGCATCCAATCTGACAAAAAACCGGCAAAAAGCGCAATGATAAGTTTCGCCACTTTGGGAACGGACGACGTGATGGCGTTTTTTGTTATGGAAATGTGCAGCACGTCATTCATATATTTTGGTAAATTGGCATTGTTTATATTGAACATCCAAACGCAAACTGATGCGTGGATTATATATGCAATCATTGGTTTACTCGTAAATATTTTGATCCATGGTGTAGACAACATATCTTTCCGATCTTTCTCCAAATGATTTATTTTTTCTTCAAGAAATTTCTTCTCCTCGTTGCCGATGAACGGATGATCTCGTGGATTGTCGTAACATAATAAAGCCTATGAAGAAAAAAAATAATTTACCGCAAGTTTATTCGAAATATTCCGCATTCTACGAATTCAAACAATTTACAAACAAAGTCCAATTTATTGTCGCGAATATTGCAAATGAATAGAACACATAATCCCATCGACCGGTGTAATATATTGAAAATCCGGCAAAATTTAATGAAATAATGCCCCCAAACTGTAAAATA